TAAAACAATCAACTGCAATCATAAAACATGAACTAACCTTTAGTTGTGAATTCCTGTACGGTGCTATCAAGTCCATTTGCTTGTTGATTCTTGGCATATACCTTTACAAAGTAGGCCGTGTCTTCTTGGAGATCTTCTAAAGGACAATCCAACTGCATAGATTTAATGGTTAACTTTTCTTGCCATGATTCTTCACCATGTTTTTTTAGCTTGATGGTGTAATGAGAAAAGAAAAAGTACTCTGCATATTGCGGTTTGCTCCATCTAAGGTGAGCTGTGATTTCTTTGATGTCATCAACGGTAACGTTGCGTGGAGGGTTTGGTGGGGCTATAGGAAAGAAAATCCATACCTTGTAACTAAGGACATTCAAGGACAATTTAAAAAAACTATGTTGAAGGACAATGAACAGCCGGAAAGGCGTTATGAGCACTAGCGTAGCCAAATTTTAACAGTGTATGGAGGAAAAATTGAAATACAAMATTTTTCAAGCGTTTGTATGCCCCACAAACATTTACCCGATTTTAGGTTCTCGCTGCGCCCCTGGTGTGTATTGCCAGGGACGGCGGCGCCGGGGGGACTGGGGGGTCTTTAGCCCCCAAAATAATTTTCTTATATTGTTTCTTTAATTCTTGAGAATAAAAATAAATTACAATTGACACTGATACAAGAGCTCGCATTCTTGGTTGCCAAGCACAAATGAAGACTGTTCATTATTTTTTGGGTCTCCAWGCATATAAKTAATCGTTTGCTCGCGCAGAAATCTTCAGCTACAACAGGGCAGAGACTGGCTGACCTAACTGTTGACACTAGTTTGCAAAAWTTACGAAATGACGAATCATTCARTGCATTTTACGACGTTATTCKCACGAAAGCTAAAGAGCTTGAAAATCTCTCTGATCCAGAACTTGACCCAAGAAAACGACGTGCCCCATCACGCTGTGAAGAAAGTACTGCTGAACCACATCATCCTATCAGCCTGATACTATTATATTTGCCATTAAGGAGCGTTTCAACCAGCCAGCCTGTGTTCTCACCAGAATTTAGAAAGTTTGCTTGTTAAAGCATCAAAAGGAGAAGATCTTGCAAAAGAACTATAGATCCTTTTGATAGATTACAAATGTATTTTTGTATTTCTTCTGTCTCTGTAAATAGTGTGAATGATCGCCACAGGGGTGGGATTATAGGAAATTAATTAAAAAACTGCTCCGCCGTCACTCCCTGATTGCATAGTTGCATATTCGTTATCAATGAACRCTTAAAGTCACCCTGGACAGTTTTTTTGAATTCACGCTCACCATCAGTTTGTATTGAGTCCTTTTTAATTGTCAGCCCATTGCCGAGGTCACCACCAGTCGACTTTACTTTTTGAATGATAAGATTAGTCGCTTCAACCTTTGCTTTGCTTTGCTTGGTTTGAACATTTGGTTGTGTTATTTTTACTACTATTATCACGCGGAATCGGACTTTAACRCTACCATTCCTGAAAAAGGAATAAAATGTATCAGTCACGTGAGGGAATTCCAAATCCCTCCAAAAGGGAAATTAATAATGTGTTGATTTGACAGGAGAAACAGCTAAACTGTGGTCTATGCAGCTACAGGATTCACCTGATTYAAAAATCTTGCCACACTTTAAAGGTGTCATCATGGAAGCTAAGACCGAAGGGAATTTTGGGTACTCAGAAATTTAATCGTATTTGCAATTTATAAGGATCCATGCTAATTTAGTGCACACAGGAATTCAAAATTCCCTTCGGTCTTAGCTTCGATGAAGTAACCTTTTCAAGAATGTATCAAGAACGTCGTTTTTGCAAACTGGTGGTAAACTAGTGCAAGCTGCGTCGGCGTTTCTAAAGAAACAGTAGTGCAAAAAGATAAATTTAAACATTAAAAAAGTCGGTGAAACATCTTATTGACGTTTCGCTTTGCCGGAGTCAAGAGAAGGATTAACGTCAGTAAGTTGTTTCACCTCTTTTTTATGATTATAAAATTTATCTTTTGCAGAACTATTATTGTAACTGTTATTATTTTTTAGAAACACCGACGCAGCTCACACTAGTTTACCGCTAGTTCCCACCATATTATTGTAAACTGACTGCCGCTGGTCATTCAGTCTGTCGTTACGTGTAAGTTTTTGATTTCCCTTCTTTAGTGAATCTTCAAGAAATGTAACAGTTATAAAAATCRTAATGCATTTTTAGGTATAAAACAGTCTTGTCAGGATTGAATCGAGCGCGATTGCGGGGTCTGGAATTCACTAGAAAGACCTGGTAAGCGGATAGTAAGGATAAGGTTTTTTTCATGCGAYAATTTAGTAGACGGAGACGGAACAGATAAAGTAAGAGCAAACGAAAAACCTCCCGTTCTCCTTCCTTCRCCATCTCCTCCTCTGTAGCGTCATCGGTGAAATCAACGGCGCTGAAACATTTGTACTCACACAAATCCTAGAACTTCTACCCTCTGAAAACCAGTCAYATTTTGGTAGATTACTTCAAGCTGAAAGAAAATACCAGTTTCCTGATTAATCTAGTGCTCGTCCTAGAGCGCCTTAGCATTGGATAACTTCTACGGTGTAGTAACGGAAACACTCGAACAATTGTCACTCTTCTAAGTACGATTCTTCTAAGCACTTTTTTATCCTGACTTCTTTGCTTTCCGTTATACAATCTTGGACTTAAATACTGAACTTCAGAAATTGGCAATTTCTCAAATGGACATCACAATTACTATATCGTGTGCATCAACTGAAAATATTGCCCTTCCCTCCCTCCCCTCCTGCATCAATGTTGCATGCAGGGGTTAATGAATGGACAACCAATGAAAAGAAAGCCACACAACATTGTATTGGGGGAAGGAGGGGGGGAACGAGTAAGGTTTTATCGACGAAGAATGTTAGAAATTTCGTGCGTGTGGAAGCAAATAATGATTATTAGACAACAAAGCGACGCTATAAAAACGATCCAAATCTACTAATTTGACAGCACAAGACGTGCCAAATAATTCTTTGCACATGTTAACTGAGTTTGAATTATTTCATTATGCCCAAAGTTTTAGGTCGACATTTTTGAATTTCAATGATGTTTTTAAGTTARCACATCATTAAATGTTGAATGCTAAAGAGGATGAAGATGCCTGTCAAATGAAGATGCAGTATATTTATATTTGAAATAGCCGCAAAATGAGCACCATTGCCCGTTTTCATACCGTGGGAGACTGGGCACAAGTCGCTTAATTCGCACGATGGTGAGATAAGACTTATATAGAGCGAAAGTTCGCACTGTAAATAAGCAACTCACAAAGTTTAGTGTTAATCGGATCAAATGTAAACGATTGGCATACAACAAGAAGCTGTGGGTAATCTTTTGTTTCAGTATAATCAATAGAAACTGAATTGCTTACCGTCGAAACGAAGCGTGCCTCTAGCTTTTTATACTGCGGWGAAGACTTGTTCTTCAAACTCTCAGTAAAGTTTACCTTGGTGAGTGTTACATTCAAGTTTACCGCGACGGGAACTAAAAACAAATGCCATAATATTGTATCATGCATCAGCATCTACAACACGCTTTCTCTTTGTTATTTGCAAATTCACTGACACAATTGGGGGAAAATGCAGCAAAACGCTGATTGGCTGATTTGGTCTGTCTATTTTTTTTCGTTGATCGCTGCTAAAAAGACGTACTGCATACGATATTTGACACCGAGATCCGCACATTTAAAAGTGCAGTGAAACCGTAAACCGTCGATTTTCCGCAAACGAACGATATGAGAGCAATACCGAMMACYRAAAGCATCAGAAACCGTCAAACCGGCGAACTATAATAGGATCCCACTATTCATCACAACTACAATAATCATTGCAGAACATACCACAATACTATCAAGATACCCATTGGTATACCTTTCACGATGAGGTTTACAGCGCCTTGTTTCTTTTGGTTTCCGTGGCTTGCTGTACAAGGGTATGTGCCCGAGTCAGTAACTGTAACGTTGTGTATAGTCATGTAGCTGTTCAATATTTTTCCATTTCCTGTAATGTTGGTACTAATCTCGTTGTCTGACGCTCTCTTCAACCAAGTAACCTTTTGAGGTCTCGGGTCGCTTGACCCTTGACATACCAGCACAACCGACTCACCTACTGTCACAGTGAAGTTCTGGCCGTCGTTAGCGATAATCGGATCAACTGMAAAACATTGCATATTAAAAATATCGTAATTTCTCCTTTGAATATGTCAGAACTAACCTGTCAAMGTTCTACCAAGCAATATGGCACTAGGTATCCCATCACCCATCGGGCTTCTTGAGAATATTTGAAACTCATATCTAGTGTTTACATCGAGGTCAGRGTATGTATGAGAGRTAWTGWCRCTGCCTACAKCTATTGTCTTCCATTCCTGTTGGCTTTGTTTGCGCATGCGTAGGATATACCGTTGAATTTGATATGACTGCTGACCAACAGGATGCTGCCATGAGATAGTTATGGACTTAGTTCTTCTGTTAGCTATCTGCAGATTTGACGGTGGTGGGGGTTTAACTAAAAACAAACAATCAGCGATCATATTAGATAAGAATGCTGACTGAACATGATCAAAAGGYAATTTGCAYGATTTCGTCACACACTATCAAGATCAGAATGCTTAATTTACTTTTTTAATGTAATTATTGTCGATCCTTTTACTCATCCAAGGTGATTTTTAAATTTTAATAAGAATGGATATAAGTGAGGTATTGTGGTCTTGGTGTTAAAAAGATGCAATCGTGCAAATGGCCKCTATTGATTAATACATTGGCTGRTGGTTTTTAATTAGTAATTGTAACTAATTGTTGGTTGGTTGGTATAACAGTGCACTAATTGCTCAAGACTTTCGCGAAAGTTGCTCAAAATAGATTGCCATTCCTAAAAATACCTTATGTGCATGAAAACAAGGGAGTTTCGGCCACAGGGATCCCAAAATGTTTGCCCGAATATAACTCATTTTCATTAGAATTCAGTTTCTCAAAATATACACCAGAATCTAGTCTATACCTYTCAATACGAGGGAACCAACTGTGAGGTTTCCAAACGACCCTTTATTTGCTTGGTCGATCATAATAGCATTCACTTCACTTTGAAGGTCAGGAGGRTTTTCTTGTGGAGATGTGAACACTTGACTCATCAAGACTTTGAAGTCAACGATAACACTTCCTTTTCTGTATTGGAAATGATACTAGCTTTACAACAGAAAATAAAACCACGCAATACCATTACATTATTAGTGTTAACACCCATTCAGCGTATAAAAGAATCAGGTTAAAACACCGATTAACAAGACTGAAA